TAAAATATTCTTTGCTATATTTAAAAACATTCTAATTTCATATTACAAACACAATGCGAAGTTAGCGAGTAATTCGATCACAAACGAAAGTTTTTTTTTTTTTTATATTTTATCGATTTAGTAGCGGCTCGTAAAAGTTCCGACGGTTATTTGAGACATTTTCAAAATGAAGTCATTTTCACATATTGACGTGGGCGTAGTATTTTTATCCTGCAAAATTGGACCAGTGATGATACCAAAGCGGTCTAATAATTGCTGTAAACTTCACTCGTAGTACGTAATTCGTAAAAAAATAATATCGATATAAATTTTAGCGGTAGCAACACCAAGACGACAACAGAACAAGTTTTGGGTGCAAAGTCGTTGGGTTCAAAATGATTTGCATAACAATTTGTTGCCATTCATGTAATTGCTCACTAGTAAGAGCTTTTATAACGCTTTGATCAGGGGTATTGCTGTGATTCACTTGATTTGTTTTGAGAAAGAAACCTGTAAATTATATTTTTAACTTTAGTTTTGATTGGTTTGGTACCTTTGTATATTGTAGACGTTAAAAAGATTAGCCTTGTGCAGATTTTTAGGTAGGTACCTATTTATATTTACAGTGGCATAATTCTATTCCGTTTTTTTTCTTTTTTACAAAAGACAACTCTCGCTCTAGGGATATATCCTGTGTCGCGTGGGGCTTTACAAAAATAAAATAAACGGACACAAAGAACACCCAGACTCAGGACAACAGTTTGTGGATCGCACTATGTGTTGTCCCATTTAGGGATCGGACCCACAGCACTCGACGCAGTAAGAAGCGAACGTGGTGACCACTGAAACTACAACGCCATTCGTGCAGTCATTGTGTTAGTACAATTATACGAAACCTTACAAACGGCAAATTCGCGTATGCCATACTAACTTTAGTATTCTATTTGTATACAATTACATACATATACGGGGATTAATGCGATCACATAACGGGGAGAGTTACTAAAAGGGATCGTTAGCGTTGCAGAATACTTTTAACCATGACCAATAAGTCATTCAAAGATTAAAGCGTGTCCGAAAAAGTTATGAATATTATTTTGTCCGACTGAAATAATATGTCAACAAACAATAAAAATAATGATTCTAAATTAAATAAAAGCAGATGATTCCATTACAATTTAAAATAAACTCTATTCAGTTTTAATTTCAACGTAAAACAATTTTGCAAATAGGTACTCACAGTATAGTGTACAGGAACAATACAAGTTCAAGTGCAAGGACCTCGTAAGAGGCTATAATAAAATAAAGGTTTCGCACGGCAGGACGCCGAAACCACAGGGCATTTGGAGACCTAAAAATATGTACCTTCTATACATGTACATATATCAATGCACCGTACCTGATACTACCTATACAAAAGCACCAGCGAGTCAAAACAATACAATTTTAATTTAAAACTTATTTCACCCGTCGAAATCTCAGTTTGCAATATGAAAAAGGTACTACATATTTTTTATATAAAAAGTGAGATTTCAAACAGGCAAACTATTAACAAAGTACAAACGATTGCCAGAGCTTTTAACTACTCTATTGGCGTCCACTAGTGTAACGGTTCTAGAGCGGTTAGAGATGATCTCTGATGCCCTATCAGCTTTAAATAAGAACTTAAATAATAAGAATGATCGGATTTGAGAGTGTAATTTATTTAGGTCGCGCTAGCTCTTCTCGAGTTAGAAGTAGGGTTTGTTCCATTCCAAGTGGACGGAGTTAATTACGGTCTTAGACTTTAAAGATATAGTGGTTTGCATTAGATTGGTTATATTTTAAAGGTGCATTTATACGAGTATGATAATGACGGCTATTAGGTGGCGAGCCCACATGTGCTAGAGGGGAGACCGCTATTAAGCAAACGTAGTGTAGGGCGCCCTGCGGCACGATGGACCGACGACTTGAGGAAAATAGTTGGCAGCTGATGGATGCGGTCTGCCCAAGACCGGGGTGGTTTGCGCTCCTTGCCAGCCTTCATTCAGCAGTGTACGGCAATAGGCTGATGATGACTGTACTTATCCAGTGTAAAGCTATGGTACCCGCACCATACCACACATATAAAAAAATATCGTCTGTAAATCTAATCTTATTTCTAATTCTGGATAAATACTTTAGATTTGCCATAATCATGTCAAATTTTAGATAACTATCTAATGACAGTTGTGTAGATCTCTAGTAAATGTTGTGAAGGATAAAACGATATCTAAAATATGCTTTTTAAATAAGCCGGTTCCGCATAACATGAGTGTAAATTAAATATTATTATGTAATATGAAAAACATTCAGGTTTTTTTAAAACAAACGTAAATTATCAATACATTATTTTTTAAAGAGAACGATGAGATATAATGGACTTCAAATAATCTATACCCTTTCATACACTACAATATGTACAGATAGATGAATATTAATAGGACTATTGATGAAAGGATCATTTACATTTTTTTTAAAGACTACTCCCGCATCATGTATTTATACTGTGTCGTGGGGCCTTTTCAAACATACATTAAACGGATACAAAGAACACCCAGATTCAGAACAATAATTTCTAAATCACACAAAGTGTAGTAGGAAGCGGCGTGGCGACCGCTTAAACCACTACGCCATGTCTGCATTTTACATTTAAACAATGGATGTGGGAAACAACGCTAAAGTTTTAACGGAAATTCATCCCAGCAAAATGATTCAGATCTTTAGCAATAAAACAATCACTCTTCAATGATGACAGGCCAGTAGAGCACTTTAGCCTGTATACACAGACCACAGACGGACACACAGAGACATTTGTGTCAACACAGCTCAACACGTAACTGGGGCGACTGTGTTTACCTCTACTAATTGCCATAATGAGCCTTATCTGTGTGCTTAGTGCCTTACTCGCCACTCAAACTGTTTGCCCACCGATCGACAGCTAACCCGCCCAAGGATGATTATGTAAACAGCAACTAAAAACAACACTCCTTCTAGCATACTGGTTAAGTGGCGCTCGACAGATAATACACTGCCGTCTTAGGCTGCAAGTTTATCAACGATTTTCGTGTTTATTCTGATGTTACCATTTGAATTAATTTTATAACGCTTTATCTACGAGTAGCAACAATTAAGTCAAACAAAATAATTATGAAATGTATTTCTTTCGTATACAAGTATTAATTCGATTCGTCTTTAACCTTCGCAAATACGACCATGTTTCTTCCTCTCGTCGTGAATTGAACTGGCTCACGATTCGTCAGCGCCGTCAGCTGCACGCCCTCACCACCCTCTATTCCATACTCAACTCACCTATTTCCCCTTCCTACCTAACATCCTCATTTCATTTTCTATGTGCCAATCACAACAGAACTCTCCGTTCATTAAACAATCCACTTCTGTTATGCCCCACTCATACCTCCGCATGTGTCCACTCTTCGTTCTTAGTCCAATCTGTCCTCCTCTGGAACGCTCTGCCTTTGGAAATCAGGATAGCACCCAGTCGCCTCTCATTTAAGACGAAAGTCCGAGCTCGAATTCTCGACACTTTAGCAGACTCATCACATCCCTAAAGTCTTATATGTTATTATGTTAGTCTTGTATGTATTACTCAGCAAGTATATACATGTATGTGTATCTCAGTATGTATGTAACCTAATTTTAATTTCATGCACCTACTCAGACATTTCCCCACCACCCAAAGGTAGACTGGGAGAAAATGCCTTTGGCATTAAGTCCGCCATTGTACTTTGTTTGTGCAAAAAGAATTAAAATAAAATAAATAAATAAATAAATAGGCAATCGAATAATCCCTTTGCAGGGAGGGGTAGTTCAGGTTATGGTATAGATTCCACTTTAAGTGCCTTATCAAGAAAAAGATCACATATTTGGATCGACAGTTGAACACGTAATATTAAAAAATATCATTTTGTTATATTTAAGGTCACGCCTTAATACCCACCCGAATGTGTTTTATCGGTGTGAACATATTCACAGCAGAAGAAATTGAATTTAATTTAGTCCCGAACAACATTAATAACGAACACCAAAATTAATTATATAATTAACATGTTAATGACCTTAAACTTATCGTGAAATAGATTTCATTAAACACTTATTAAGTACTCATAACTGACTTGCATTTGAACAAGACATAATGGTCGGTTAGCTACAAATACCATGAATAATGCTGCGATTATATTCATTTCCTTTTTCTGCTGCACGTAATATATACATTCCACAATTGCAGCATTCCAAGGTATCTAAGGTCAGTCCATACTGTCCGATAAATCTTGACCGTGTGCCAGTGTAAAGTCTACTTTTTATGGTCGTGGTCGTCGCCATAGTGGACAGATTCCTTGGCCGATTACATCTGAGGTTCAATTTATTGCTATCGACTAGTGTTTAACAACGTTCGATTGTTAGTTGTCCATGCCAAAATAAACAGAATGCACCATCATTTCATACAAAAATAACATCTAAAGTAGTCTGTTGGAATGTTAATCACATTACTTAAAAACTATTCAGACTCATCTGTGGACTGAGTATAGTCGTGGAACCGAATATATTCTTATTTTATTTACCGAGTAGTCGCATAGTTGAGTGGCGCGCGAAAGAATTTGAGCCTTGCGAGATGTTGGGCAAAGTGTTTGTGATAATCTACTCAGTCCTCAAGAGTCAGGTCGAGAATCTCAATTATGTCGTTAATATATATACGTAGCTAAATATACACATATGTATAATAAGGATTAAGTATACAGTAAAATAAAAGGAAAACGCGTAAAGATGTATTGCTGTATAAAACATTTTTTACTTAAAATTCATTAGGAGCATGTTCTTTTCTTAAGTGAGTTAAAATAGAAGGTTTTTAATAATAATAAAAATCATAATAGAATACTAATGTTTTAAATTAGGAAATAACTCTGTTTGTGTGTTTGTAACCTTTTTTTGGCCAAAAACTTTTAAGCTTCGATGTCTGAATTATACTTTTCTTTTGTTCCCAGGCCATCAGTGACTTTTATCACACCAGGAATGATAGTGGAGCGACATCACACTGGCGGGCGTACTAGAGACAGACCACTACCCGAAGCGACTGCGTGTCATTATACTGGCAGCGTTCGGGGGCAACCTGGCTCGAGCGTAGCTCTCTCTGCTTGCGATGGGCTTGTGAGTATTTGCTTCCACAAACCAATCCTATAGATATATATATATATTATTTAACAGTTAGAATTGTGACCATAACTGCAGAAAATGAACGCAATTTGAGCCAAAAATCAAGTTTATGTTTATGATTTACAAAAAATAATAATAAGTAAGGCCATCTTGCAAATATTACACAAAATATAATAGATATGCTTGCATAAGATTTTTTGTTATCCTTGTATCATTAAACTGCGAACATATCCTCCTTCTTGAAACAAAAAATATTATAAACTCAAATTTGACATGTTAAAATATCTAAGATCATCTAATTAAAACAGTAAACTTCAGGTAGCATCTATTAAAGGCTTTAAAACTTTAAATTTTGAGAAACTGAACGCAAAGAGACTACACAAAACCAGGCATGCTCATTTTAACCACAAGTTCAAACTTTTTATGTCTACCGCTAAATCGTGAATTTTATCGCCGCATATAAATAAACGAGCTGTAAGATAAATCACTGTGCGACTCAAGACTTGCAATAAAACATATTTGATATAACACGGATCAATACCGAGAACCGATGAAGTCAATTAGTAACAAGGTCCACGGTATATTATTCTTTAAAGAGATTTTCAGTGCAAGTGGAATGTATTGTATAAAATCGCCAACACAGACTGTATTATGTTCAGTTCCATAGTTTTGAAAACTTAGCAAAATACTTTGAACTAAGCAGCCTGTTGCAGCCACTGCTGGCTATAGGCCTCTTCTTTATCACGCCACTTCTAGCCGTTTTGTGCAAGCCGGATCCATTACTCTTCTACCGCCCTTACAAAAAAGTTTTAATTTAATTTTAATTAGTTCAATTAATTTTATTTTATTTTATTAATTTTATTTTTTGATTAATTTAATTTATTTATTAATTAATTAATTTTGTAATTAGTTTGGTTAAAATTCAAATAAACAAAATGAAATTTAAATAAGATAACAATACATAATGATATAAAGATTAAAGCAAGTAGTGCAAACAAATAGTTTATTTATAAAAATAAAGATTTTCTTAACAATTAAGTTGTATTCTAAAATACATATATTCACTTTCGAATTGACGAAGATAATGAAAAAGGGAAACGATGTTCTCCTCAAATTACTAGAGAGTAGAGATATTTGAAAGCAAGCATCTAGTTAATACGTGTCGCGACTTCTAATAATTAAAAGCATAAAGTAATAATATAGTATTTATTACCACTTATTTTCTTTATCTTTATATTGATGTCAATTCGATTTAATCTCAACAATTTTGTTATTCTGTGAGTACGTAGCAACTTTCTGCTAACATTGACTTGGTGAAATTGTGAAAGAGTATTCTCTGCTGTAACTTTAATATTAGCGTCAATTTTATACCAGTACTTAACCAACTAGTACCTTAACATACTTAGTATGATGAACATACTTGCTAAGTTATTCTTACAACCAATGACATTAACAGTAATGCGTCGCATAAAAGCTTGCGTTTAAGTAGAATTTGTGTTAAAGCATTTTTTGTTAACCTTGCGAAAAGCACTATTGTCTGAACGAAAGGGTCGAAATGCCCTTTTATGTGCCTCAATAGAGGAGGCTTAAAAATTTCATCATAATGCTATAGAAAGCTTCTTCCTCTAACGACATCAGAAAGTTATGTTACGCATAACTACTATTTTATAACTTATTGAAAACATTTTTATAATTGCCTTATTAAGTGCGCCAGTATAAATGGTAAAAATTACTTAATTTTAATAACGTTTTCATGAATTTCTCTGATCCCGACGCAAGGTATACAATAGGTAGATTTCATTATTTTACGCTGTACTCCCTTTCTAGCCATATCCTTCACACAGTCCAACCATATTTTCTTTGTACGTCTTATACTCTTACTCGGGGGGTTTATCATACAATTAATGATATCTAACATCTCTTAGGAATTTACTTTTACTTAGTCCGTCAGATTAAGAATACGGAGTGTCACCACCCAAATTCATCCTGTGGGTGTCGTAAGAGCCGACTAAGGGAGCAAACTATGCAGGACAACAGCACTGCAAAGAGAAGGAAAACTTGACACAAACCCTATACCAACCCGTCTGGCCAGCGTGGTATAGTAGGCCAAAACCTCCTTCCTAAGGAGAGGCCTATGTTCAGCAGTGGACTATTAAAGGCTATTGATGATGATGATGATAATACATATACTAACTTACTATACTTGAACTAATACAGTCAAATCAAATCAAATCATATTTATTTGCATAAAACAGGTATAAAGATGGTAGAAGTTACAAGTCGAGGCTTTAGTCAGGTAAATATTAGTCACCTTGAGTGTTTCAAAAACGTACATGACTCAAATAGTTAAAGAAGTCAAGTGTCACGCAGGATCTATTATTGTTGTTAAGTGGTAGGTCAACGACACTATTGTATTACATGTGCAAGAGGCGACAGATCGAGACGTCTTCATGCAGCCAGCCAGCCAGGTGTGCGGGCACTTTACACGTCATATTGCCGTAAGACATAAATATTTACATGATCTATTTATACAACATAACTTCTAATATTTTGTCATGACTCTAGTGTCCGCTTATGACGTTTATAGGTTAGTCATTAATTCGTCAATGTTGACTTCAACGTCTCAAGCAAACTTAAGTGAGTTTACGATATCACTTCAAGTGACTTCTTTAACGATTGAGGGCTTTGTCTTATATTTAAATAGTTGAAAGTACCGTTGTGACTATTAAATAATGTTAAGATATACTGGATACTTAACACGATGGATGAAACGGATAGTTGTTTGGCCGGATACCAGATATGCAGCCGACATTAAATTCAGATTGCTGGATATCCCGCAAACTAATCTGAAACAGTTGGAAATAATACTATTCGGCCCGATCCCTTAGCGTTACGTAGAGATGTGGATTCACTCGGCATTCTCTATCGCATATATCATCGAGAGTGCTCCAAGGAATGGTTCGGACTAATACCAGCCGCAACTTTTCGCCATCGTTCCACAAGGCAAAATTTTCATCCTCGTTTTGCCCCGCACAACCAATCTGTGGAACGGGTTATCGTCTGCGGTAGTTCCGGACCGATACGAAATTCAAACCTTCAAGAAAAAAGCGTGCCCCTTTCTAAGAGGCCGGCAACGCGTTTGTGACTCCTGAGTTGCAAACGTTCATGGGCGGCGATGGTCACTATCCATGAGGTGACCTGTCTGCTTGTCTGCCCCCTCTAACATAAAAAAATACACGAACTTCACAAAGTTATTAGTTTCTATAAAAAAGTACCCTAGAGCGATGTATACAGCAAAAAGCTTTAAAGAGTATCCGGTATCATTAAAAAATCACCTCTACTATATACCCTAGTACCTACATTGTATTATGTAGTAACGTATAACCAAAAAAGCAAACAGTTCAAACAATGAATATTTCTATTATAAGAACTATAAACTATAAAACTTGGATTGCAACAATATATTAGCGTTGATCTCGACTGCCTAGTTTTGCAAAAATTAGCACAAGTTAGAGGTGCTTGTGAAAACAGTCCTACCGAATGACAGTGGGCGTTACTTAGATGTTTGTTGAACATTTTGCAATTTTAATTAGTAGCAATCTAAAAGACGACAGAGATGCAATGAAGTTTATTTATAATTTGTACGGATATCTACTACGTAGGTCACTGTATAAATTTTGAGACACGCTAAAAGTAAACAATGTTATATTTATTATTACAATTTATATTATATTTTTATAAATTACATATACATTAAAATACTCTCCATGACTCTCTACACAATTTTCCATTCGCCTAAACCTGTCTTGGAAGTACTTATTGCAGCCTTCCTCCGACAGGTCAAAAATTGTTTTGTTCTAATTCGTAGGCAGCGTACTTTTGTGTTCGATTTTAAAAAAAATTGCCTTTTAATAATAAATTTTAATTTTCAAATTACGAGTATCTCAAAACTATTAGAGACCTACGAGTTCTAAATGTAGAATATATTCTTTTTAATTATGGAGTGTAGAGGCAAAGAGGATCATCTCTGTGCATTAAAGTTTCCGTAAAAACGCGTCCAATAAGGGTGGCGCTGCTTTATACTATACTTTTAATGTAACAATGTTTTAATGTAGCAATCCTGTTAATGTTTAGGCAAACTGATTTTGTAGGATGACCCAAGTAATATAATCAAACTGTTTACAAGATAATAAAAAGTCATCTTTTTGGACAATAGAAATCAGTACACTAATTTTTTAGCCACTATAAAAAAAATACTTTAATAATAAATCTATTTTCGGAAAATAAGAAATACTTTGCCAGAAATTAACATTACTTCAAATTAAGACAAATTATATTATGCTATGCTTATATTTGCGTATGTCAATAGCATTTAAGAAATACAAATGTAGGTGGCTCTAGGTATATCATAATATATCCAATTTTATGTCGGGCATTTGGAAAAATCATTTATTAGATCTATAAATGAAGTTTTTAAAAAATTATCTGTATCCCAATCGAAAACGTTCAACTGTATTCTGACTCTTGTCAAGTTATTCTAAATTTATTAGCATTCTTTAATAAATAAATGAAAGTAATACATTTATTTATTAAAGAAAGCTAATAAATAAATGAATTACTAATTAGTTTAATAAAACGCTCGTTAGTAGCGATTTTCTTCATAAATACCTTATTTATAAAAATGTGTATTTATGCTATTACGAGTAATATAGTCTAGTTCGGAGGGTTGAATATAGAATAAGGTCTGTTCGTTGACTTAGTACAAAAGAACTTTATAAATCGATTCATGTGACTTTACTAATCGATTATAGTATTTAAATGTTAATTTAATTCCACGTGGCCGTGGTCACTGAAGGTTCATTTCATTATATTGAATTAATTATGTAAATATAGAATCATCTATAGAATTCTTAAGTGTTTTTACATGCGATTATAATAAAAAATAAATGGATAGTTTCGTAGATTATAAAAATGCTAATATATATCACCATTAA